CCATTCACAGATTATCCTTATTTGATTGCATTAGAAAAGAATAATGGGGTTACAAATTTAGGAAATTCTTATGGCACTGACCATGCAGCTGCAATATTTACAGATTACATTGGCACCGTAATTAAAAACAAATTAACTGAATGTTTAAAAAATTGTAGATTTTACTGTGTTCTCTGTAATGGAAGCACAGATTCAGCTGTATCGGAACAGAAATTGATTTACATTCTTTATTTAAAAGACGGAAGTCTGAAAGTAGAATTCTTGTCTATTGAAATGGCAGAGAATTCTAATGCTGTTGGCCTGAAAAAATGTATAACAGAGGCTTTTACAAGAGTTGGCATTACCAATTCTTAAAAACATCTATTGGGTGTAAATCTTGATGGAGCTAACGTTAATCTAGGAGCTTATGCTGGTTTAAGCGCATTACTAAAGGAAGGTTCTCCTTGGCTGAAAGTTGTACACTGTTTTAACCATCAACTTGAACTTGCTTTAAAAGATGCGTTTGAAAGTTTATCTGCCTTCAAAACTGTTGACAAACTCCTTTTACAACTTTATTACTTGTATCAAAAGTCACCAAAGCGCAACTGAGAACTACAAGGATTAGCTGAAGCTTGGGGTAATAGCGTTCCGAAACAAACAAATGCATGCGGAACTCGGTGGATTGATCACAAGTATAAAGCAATAAAAATTGCTTTAGAAAATTATGGTGTGTTTATGACACATATTGAATCATTCGCTATAACAGACTCCCAGATAGCAAAGAGAACAGAGTTAAAAGGTTTTTTAAAGCGATGGAAAAATGCGTCTGTGCCTATTAACTTATCAATATATCTTGATATATCTCTCCTTCGGCGTTTGAGTTTAAGTTTTCAGAACAATATTTATGATCTAGTAAAAGCTGTAAGAAGAGTCCAAGAATTTACAATGACAATGGCCAAGCTGCAAACTCTTCTAGAAAACTCGTTAGACAATTTTCTTGATGATACAAGTGTTATGACCCATTATAAAAGACTGTCTAAAGATATTGAGACAATTAATTCAAAGCAATGTTATCAAAATATTCCACTTTCTCAAAATACCGAAGTTAATAGCCATGTTCTTGACCAGTACAAACTAATTATTGCAAATATTACCATATGTATGGAAGGTTGTTTTCAATCTCTCCAAAAATCACCAATATTTATGCATTTGGTAGCTTTACTTGACATTTATAACTGGCCGTTAAATGTGAATGACGGTACTTTTGGCGATAAAGCTATCGGTGAAGTTGTTGAACATTTTTCTGAATTTTTAATTGGTGTAGGATGTGATTTGAATAATATACTTCATGAGTGGATCATTTTAAAAGCATACATGTTTCCCATCATAAGTAACAATCAAAATGAGTATTATTTGAAAATTTGGGAAATTTTCAAATAATACTCATTTTGATTGTTACTTATGATGGGAAACATGTATGTTTTTATATTGTATTATTTGAAATTTTCAAATAATACAATATAAAAAAAAATTTGTCCTTTTACAAATGCGAAGGTAGAACGAATGTTTTCATGTATGAATCGTGTAAAAAATGAATGGAGAAGTTGTCTTCGACGAGATCGTTTAGAATCTCTACTTCGGATAAGCAAAGAAGGTCCTGAGATTGACAAATTTGAACCTGATACTGCTATGGACGAGTGGTATAATGATAAAGTTGGACGATTGTCAGCAAATTTTCATCGTTATCCGGAAAAAACAAAAAGAAAGTCAAGAAAAACAGACATTGATCGCAACAGTTACAATATCAGATTTGGAAGAAAGTGAGAGCGAGGAAGAATATTCTGACAACTTTTAATTTTATTTTAGCGCATTGTAACCCCTTAAATTTAAAATATCAAATAACAACTTTAAATAGCGTATGAATTTTAGCTTTGTAAAAATACTTTTACGTTAGTAAAAATCCTGAAAAATTTTAAGCATTAAACTAGTGAAATTATTACAAAACGATAAAAATATATACAATTACGTTCTAATACTTTTTCTATTAACAATCAAAAAAAGTATTAGATCGTAAAAGATTCTATTATTTAGACACATTTTTTTCTTTCGCTTTATTTTATTGAATGAAAAAAGTGAACGCTAACTTTTATTAAAAAATGCATTGAATGAAAAAGCAAAAGATAAAAATATCATCGGAATTTGATAAGGTTACTTAGATAAGAAAACTGACTTTATAAGAATTTAACTATCATTCTTGTTTGTTGCGCAGGTTTTCGTCAAAATGTTAAGTTTTAACATTTTATCACAATAATGTTTTCGTCATTTTTAATAGTTTTTTATAACTGTTTCAAAATTAGAGTTTTAAATAATTTTTTTTACTGTTAAAAATTTATAGAAAATTAAATATTCTAGTTGTTTTAAACAGTTTAAAATATGTAAATAAAATAGAAGATGAAATAATTAATTAAAAGAAGGTTAGGAATATCAAGTTCATTGATTTTACAAAAATACAACCGTTAGATGTAATGCAATATGATATTAGTAATAATGTAAACTATAACTAAAGCTATTTTACAACCGCTAACCGTAAATGTTATGACATCTTATGCAAAAATGAGACTTATTATGTATGTTAATATAAATAAGTTAAAATAAATAATGCCCCCCCCCCCACGGGGGAGGAGGGGGATGGAGTTATGAGCAACAAAAATATCGCGAATAGATTTTTTTACGTTAACTCGAGCCCTGATATATATGTATATATATATATATATATATATATATATATATATATATATATATATATATATATATATATATATATATATATATATATATATATATATATATATATATATATATATATATACATTATAAATATATACATTATAAATATATATTATATATATGTATATATATATATATATATATATATATATATATATATATAAATATATATATATATATATATATATATATATATATATAAATATATATATATATATATATATATATATATATATATAATATGTATTTATATATATATAGTATATATATATTATATAATATGTATTTATATATATATATATATATATATATATATATATATATATATATATATATATATATATATAATATATATATATATATATATATAATAGTATTGCGTACTATGGTAAGCAATCTGACGTCATACTGAAATAACCTGCTGCTGGGGGCTTCAGTACATACATCGACTGAAAAATAGCCTGACTCGCAGTGGGAGTGCTGCTACATTGACTGAGGGTTTGGGATGGGGAAGCTATCGTTTCATTCATCATTCTTCGTTTTTTCTTCTTTTTCGAAAAAAACGGTATAGCTTAAGGTAAGCAGAAAAAGTGAGCAAATGCTTATCAAAACACGCTTTATTAAGTGTAAATACATATATATATATATATATATATATATATATATATTATATATATATATATATATATATATATATATAATATATATATATTTATATATATATATATATATAAATATATATATTTATATATATATATATATATATATATATATATATATATATATATATATATATATATATATACACATGTATATATAATATATACATATATAGATAATATATATATATATATATATATATATATTATATATATATATATATTTATATATATATATATATATATATATATATATATATATATATATATATATATATATATATATATATATATATACATATATACATATATACATATATACATATATACATATATACATATATACATATATACATATATATTATATATATGATAAATAAATTCAAGGGAAAACTTCAATAAACTTTGATACATATATTTTTTACACTGCATACAATATCTGACCTATATTTTAGCACCAACCATCAATTGGAGTTAATTATCAATTATTTTAAATTTTTATATATCTATATTTTCTATATTTCTATATATCTTTAAACTAAATTAAAGATATGTAATTCACATTTTTATACTCCTTTGTCTTGAGACTTAATGGCCAAACCATTATGGTTCCTTTATAGTTAAGAATTAAAAGACCTAAATTGTGATTTTATTAAATAGCAATTATAAAAATATTTAAAATTTAAAACAAAACAAACAATGTGACAAATGAATACCATATTTAGGATTTAGATTGTAACTGCATTCTTATTAGTGAAACTAATATCAGGATAGAACCCCTTTTTAATTTTAAAAATGATTTTTTATTCTTTTGTCTTCAAAACTATTCTTTTTTTGCAACAAAAGAATAAAGAAAATTTAAAAAGTGTTGGTAGTCTCGAAGAGTTTTAACTCATCTTAAACTTGTTTTAACAATAAATTCTAAACTTGATTTAATGACAAATCCTAAACTTGTTTTAACAAATAATTCTAAACTTATTTTATCAAACAATCCTAAACTTGTTTTAACAAATAATCCTAAACTTGTTTAAACAACTAACCCTAAACTTGTTTTAAAAAAATTCCTAAACTTATTTTAACAACCATAAACTTGTTTTAACAACTAACCCTAAAGATTGATCTATGAAAAAGTACATAGTAAAGTATATATATTTTACTAGTTTAACCCAAATTTTAATAAAACTTAAAAATAATAATGAAACCAAGTTTCGTTATTATCTTAAACTTATTTTAACAATTAATCCTAAACTTGATTTAATGACAAATCCTAATCTTGTTTTAACAAATAATCCTAAACTTATTTTAACTTATTGGTTGCCTTAAATAAAACGCCAAAAATGATAATGAAACCAAGTTTCGTTATTATTTTTGATGAAAAAAAAAAAGTAAATTAACAAATATGTGATAATTAACATAATAAAAAAACCTTACATCAAAATAATTCTAGAGTTTATCCTTTGTACTTTTTTTTTTTACTTGTAATAAAACTTGCTGTTTACTTTTAAATAATTGGTAGATTATTTTATTTATAGATTATTTTATGATAAGAATACAGATACTTAAAATATTGCATACTGTGTTGTGAACCAGGAATGAACCACAGACAAGCATTATCAACTGTTGCATCCTCTAGGGCTATCCAAACCCCAACAACTTTAGGAGGATCATTAATAAGAAACGTTCCATCTTGGTGAGGGAGAACTTAAAAAACAAAAAAAAAATTAAAAGTCAAAAACTCTTTGGTTTTTATACCACTTGGAGTAAAAGGAAAAGTCTTTATTGAATAAAATGAACAAATATAGATTTTTAAATGTTTGTAAATATCAATTAAATAGAAATAATAGTGAAAACCAATAAATTTAATATTGGAAATGCAACCAATAGTTTTAAAAAAAGCAAAATTTGAGCAATGACAATCTAAGTTTCTATGTAACCATCAAACAGAATAACGGAAGCCGTTTTGAACACTTCAGATTATTTATACATGTCTAATAAATTAAAATAATATTTTAATTTATAAGATATGTATAAATATTTAAATAAAAAAAAAAATAATAAATGGACCTGAAAACAATTCAGATATAAACAAAAAATATTAACAACAAAAAAAACCTACCTACACCTCCAATGTGTGCTTGCTAAAAATATATTTATAACATAAATATAACAAAATAACATCTGATCATATTGCTAACTTTATTGCTAAAAGAAGCAAATATTTAAAAATCAAAATTATTCATTATAAAACATTTAAAAGAAAATTTTTTTTAATGTTAACATGAATTCTTGTAACAATTTTAGAGTGATGAAATCTTCTATAAACTAATGTTGTGTCTAGTGCAATGGTACCATTGCTTTAATTTTTTATCTTTGTCATAGAAGTAAAGTTTGACTGGTTTATTTTAAGTCACGCTGCAAATATTATTGGTTGATTTTAAATCGGTTTTAAATTGGTTGATTGTTTTACTTGTACAAATTTAAAAAAAAATGGAGCTTCACATAGTACAATTAGCTTTGTAGTATCTGATTGGCTCATCTTCAACAGTAATATGAGATCAAGTCCTTCATTTATAAAATTTTTTTAAACATTTTTTAAATATTTTTTATTGAAAGTTATTATTATTGTATATTGAAAGTTTGATTTTTATTGAAACAATGATTTTATTATTTACATACATTGAATGATATAGGGATAGGCACAGTGAGTGTACATACATTGACTGATATAGGGATAGGCACAGTGAGTGTACATACATCGACTTATTTAGCGATAAGTGCAGTGAGTGTACATACATCCACTGATTTAGGTATAGGTACAATGAGTGTACTTACACCGATTAAGGGTTTTGGCTTGGGCATAGATTCTTTTAAAAAAATCAACCAATCAGAAATCACTACCGTGACTTTGGGAAAAAAATTAAAGCAACAGTACCATTGTGCTAGACACAGCATTTAACTAATAATTTGGCTAGAAATATGCTCCAGGGAATTGTATAGTTCATTTGTACATTTAATTTTATTTCTACACTTAATAAAACAATTAACAATTGTGGTATTGACATTAACTTATAAAATGATGACCAAAAAAAAACCTAAAATAACATTAAAAAAAAACAAGTAAAGTGATATTAAAAACTCTTAATGAATACAGGTGTAATGGTGCCTCCGTTTGTTCCCTATTCTATGTTGTCATATTTTATATATTTAGAGTGTAAAGTAAAATTGACTAAAGATATGCAAAATGTGTAAAACATTCATTATAAGGTTTCATTGAGGTAAATAACCATAGAAGAATCACTTGTGGAATGCCACTAAATACTTTTTCAAATGCCATGCAATGGCATTTGAAAAAGTATTCAGTGGCATTCGACAAGTGATATTAAAATATGGTATGAAAATTAAGAATCTGTTTTAGCTGTTAAGAGTTTGTCTAATGATTAGCCAATGGCTAACATGGTTTATATTTAGATCTTACTTTTACTTACTATGAGTAAAACAGATTCTTAATTTTATTTAACATTTTATGTAACATTAATAGCTCTGTTGACAACTACTTCATCCTTCATTTAGAGTGCAGACAGAACCTAATAAAAAGTAATGATAAATTTACAAATAAACAAATAATCATAAGTTTTTATATTATATGACATAACTGCAGTTGTGTTTTTTAGTAAAAAGTAGAAAGCTAAGTACATATCAAACATTAAATTTTAATAGAAAGTTGCAGGTTGAAACAAAAAGTGTCAGCTTAAAACAGAAAATGATGGTTTGAAACAGAAAGTTAAGTACATTTTATAGAAAAACGCTAGTTGACTAAAGACAGTATTTTTTTATTTTATTTTGTGACTACACACATATTTGAAAAACAGAAACTACTTGGATTATTAAAAATACAACAGTTTAAATAAAATTGATCTTAAAAAAGATTTATTATTATAAAAGACACCTGTAAATCTTTTTCAGTATAAAAGACACATGTAAATCTTTTCCAGTACACTCTTACAAAAAGCTTAAAACTGAATACTCAACACTCTTATAGGGAGCACCAAACTTTTTAAATTGAAAAATTAGATAAAAATTTTTGTTGTTTAACTTTTAATATTGTAAAATTTTAGTAAAATCCTATAAATAATAATATAAAAATATTAATTTTGTATAATATATTCCTGCTCCACAATTTCTTTAATATATATTTAATTGTCAAGTAAGATATTAACTTATATATCTGAAGAGTTTGAAAAAATAAAATCCAAAATTAAAATGATTAATTCATCTCCTTTAATACATATATGTAAACATACAAATAATAAGAGTTCAAAATAATAAACAACATTTGTTATATATAGCTAAATTTTTACCTTAAATATAACCATACTTTGAACAACAACTGGATCAAAAATTTCTTATATATAGTTAAATTTTTACCTTAAATATAACCATACTTTGTACAACAACTGGTTCAAAAAAATCCAATCCTTTGATTACTTTCTAAAACAAAAAACTTTAATTATTTTTAAAACTTAACTAAAGGAATTTATAGATATATTTATAGATATATTATTATTTATTATATATAGATAATACCAACTAATAAAAAAGTGAACAGCCTTTAAGGAATATATGTAAATGTAAAAACCTATAAAAATTGAATTTTTTATATAAAATTGTGTAAGCTTTATATAAAATGGTGTAAATTTCAAAGTATGAACCATTGTGAAGCTCTGTGAATTTCTAAATGAAATGGCAAAATAATCCAAAAATCAAAGATAAATCACTGATATTAAAAGTACTGAGATAAGAAGTGACGATATTAAAAAAGAAAAAATGTAAATCTTATGAAGAAATAACCAACAAGCCTCTACATTAAGAAAACTTTTGCATATTAAATACTTTGCATTTAACTAAAATAACATTATTACATAGCCATTTTATTTTTGCTGGATTACATCTTAAATTTTCTAAATTTTTGAAAAAAATAATAAATTTACTGTGACAAAAATAACTCACTGGGACACTGAGACACTGGGACTTACATGTTTAACAAATTACTTGCTCTATCTACTATTGTGATATCCACACTAACATGAATATTTTTAGAGGTTATTTGTCAGTCTGGTCATACGAATACTTAAAGATTATTAAAAATTAAAAAATACAATCATCAAGACGATAAACTTTAATACTTTTGAAAACATAATGAAGTTGTTTAGGTTTATTACAAAACTTTTTAAAGTGCATAAGGCACATCAAGATTTTATAACTTTATGTTTCTACAACTCTAAAGAGCATTTAGACTTTAACTATAAAACATAATTGATAAAGTTGAATTAATACTAACTTTTATTTAAAAAAGGTAAAACAAATTAACATTATATATCTGAATTAAGACTCTTTTTAAATCTGATCAATACAGAAGAGTTAGGAGTTCATTTTGAATAAATTTATTTGTTATTCTGGATTGCAATGAGGTGAAAGCCTTCTTATTTCATAAATATACATTTCTTATTTCATACGATGTATTATTTACACAATAGTTAGTTTTTCCAATCTGTAGGACACATGTTTTTTGACAATTTTTGTCAAAAAACATGTGTCCTACTATAATAATTTAATTTGAATTTGTAAATGGACTAAATAACTAAGTAACTAAGCAACACAACTACGCAACAATAAGTCCAATACATATTTGAGTAATTCTGCAACAATTATATCTGCTTAAATATTTTTTCCCACATTTTGAATAAATTTTACTAACCATTTTTTTCAAATTTGGAAAATATAATTTTTTAAAACAATCAATTCAATAACAGTATTATCAGTATTACACCACTTATTTTTTTTTTTTTTAGTTAAAATGTGTAACTAGTTCTACTATTTCTTTATCATCACTGATGCAATAAACAAAAAAATGAATTAAAGTAGATTAAATTGCTCATACTGTGTTTTGAAAATAACACTACATATATACGTTAAAGTTTCACTACCTATATACATTAAATTTTCAATGCATTTATCCACTTATGATCTTTTTCCAAAATGTACTGTATTACTTGTACTGTATAATTAGGAGGGTTTAGGATATTTACTAAGGGTTTAGGATATTTACTAAGCTTCTAATTCAAGTTTCAATTCTCTTTAAAATTTTAGCACTTGTTCATAAAGAAAATTTTAGTCAGTGAATTCTTACATTTTTTAAATAATAGAGTTTCAGGACAAATCCACAAAATAGAAAAATGTTTTAATACTTTTTATACAAGTTTCATATTGATTGCAACACAAATGTACAACATCATTTCCATCAACATCATATTCTTAGTTTTAGATATGAATAAAGATGCCATATTTAATTTACTTTAGAACATTTAAACCAATATAAATTAATTTTTTTTAATATTTTTTCTTAATCAGGAATTCCTCAAACATCTTTATACTTGTCAATGCACTTCAAATGATTCCATACTGAAACATACATACATACTGAAACATGCATACATACTGAAACATATATACATACTGAAACATACATACATACTGAAACATACATACATACATACATACATACATACTGAAATGTTGTTATGCAACTTAAGAAGTTTTTTCATTTAACTTTTGTTTTTTAAATAACGCTTCGTCAGATTGTAGCTCTTACAATAATATCCAAATAATACTATGTGAGAAACTGATATTTATAAATATATTTAAAAATATTTAAAGAATTAGGAAAGAAATATTTTAATTGAAATTATTATTATTAAACTGAATAAAATCTAAACTGCATAAAATGTAAATTGTATAAAAATCATTTAATCAAATAATGATTGTAAATTGTTTAAATAATAAAATTTTAAGGTTGCTAAAACCCTTTGGACCATGGCAATTTGCAATTGATGATTTTCCTATTTCGCTATATCATAGGACTTAAATCTACTTATATCATAAGACTTTAACCTACAAGAACTTATCTTTATTATCTTTCATATAACAAATTAATTTTTTTACATTTAATAAATTTATTTACCTTAATAAATCTATCTATCCTAATAAATAAATGTCAACTTTATTTATAATAGCTATTAATTTTTCATTCTCATTGCAAATCCAAATCTAAAAATATGAAAGTGAACTTTGAATAATTAGTCATTTATTATGCTATAAATGTAATGTGGTTCTTTATATTGTAATGTTATAAATCTTTACAATGTATAAATGTTATAAATTTTTATAATGTAATGTTATAAATGTAATGTAGTTCTTTATATATTTATATTTAAGTGAACTTTGAATAATTAGTCATTTATTATGCTATAAACGTAATGTGGTTCTTTATATGTTATGTCACCTTAACATATGACATAAAAATGTTACACAAAATACAAAAATGAAGCTACATAAAATATATATATAATATAAAGCAGCTTTAAAAAAAACTAATATATAACATAAAATAACTATTTGCTTAGCTAAACTAATTATTGGGAAAAACAAAAACAAAATCTAAAAAACTAAATACACAATAAAGAGCTTTAAAAGAAGCTTCCATTTTGAAATCAAACTTTATTTTAATCTCCTATCAGACACCATTTCAACATTTTTCAATAATTTTGAATTATCAATGCTTTGACTGTAGTTTTTTAACAATACAATAAGTTTATCAACAATGAAGAATACATTTGCAAAACTTTGCAACTTCTTTACACTACACAGCTGTTTTTTGAAACATTTTTATTAGTTCTAACTTGGCTAAACTTTTATCAACTTGAAAATAATACCTGTATTAATGGATGAAATGTAACCTTTTTAAAATCATCATCAACATGATGCAAACCTAAAAAAAATTTTTAGAGTCACAAGTTACAAAAAAAAAAAAAAAAAAACTTTATTGTAAATTGTAAACTTTTACTAGTAAAAGTGTGTATGGGCGTGCTGGCCCTACATCCTATGTGAGAATCCTGCACGGACCTTGTATGCTTCCATTTTCTTGTCAAAAAAAAAGTTAAATCAATTTTATTCAAATTTATTATTTGTTTTTTTGTCTTTAACTTAATTCAACTTAAAATGTTTCTAAAAACCAAATTTCCATCATTCATTAGTTTAAAAAGAACAATATATATAAAATGAAAGTTTAACCAATTAAAATTTTTTGGGACTAAGCTCATAACCTTTTGTTTACTAAACAAAAGAAATCTACTTTAAAAGAAGAAAAGAATAATTAGAAAAAAAAAGAGAAAGCAGAATTATTAGCAATTTATAAATTAATTTAAAAAGTATAAAATTTTCCAACAAAATTTTCAAAAAATGAATTAGGTAAAATTTTGAAAGTTTTTAACATAAAAGTAACATTGTTAAACTTTATTGATGATAGTTATTATAATTATTATTTAAAAATCAAGCTTACAAAACTTTAAGAGAAATAAACATAATATTAGGATAAATGATTTGAATAAAGTTTTTGAATGAGCTACTTTTTAATCATTTCACATAAATAATTTTTTTGCTTTTGTTTTTTACTTGTTTTTGTTAACTTTGTTTTTTGTTTTTTTAATATTAAAAAGTTGGGTTATTCATAAAATCTTTCTTTACAATAAATAAATTAATAAATGAACCTGTTTATATTTATAAAAAATGTTTATATTTTTACTTTAAAATTTGTTTCTTAATTTTTTAATTACTATTGAAAAAGACTTATTATTTTAAGCCAATAACATGTTTTATTTAAAAGTCAATAACACATGATTTGTTTTATAAATTAATTATCTATTAAAGCACTGTGCTCTTCTGAGACCGCCAGGGTAAATTTTGGTTTACTCTAATTTTTTTTTTTTTATTACTATTATTGGGTTAAGTAAAGTGTTTTAAAATAATTTTTAAAATCTAAACTCACTTTTTAACATCAAAAATTGAGATTTAATGAGTTAAAATACCTATAAAAATTACGTCATCAAAAGTTTACATCATCTATTCAAAACGGATAAAAAGACTCTATGTTACCGTAATTTACGGCAATATTTCGTAAAGCATTCAGGTAAAACATACATGTTTTTTGTCAAAATGGCTGAAGCAAAATGTTTAATTTGTGCTTGTTGTTTTATTGCCTTTGGAAAGAATCAAAAAAACTTATTAAAGTGACTTCTGCAATACAACTCCATATTTAAAACCTATGTTGGAGAGAATATGACGTAGACAAAGAGTGTTGTCCGAAACACATTTGTACTTCTTGCAAAACAAATTTATATGCATTGAACAGGGGTGAAACATCAAAGTTGAATGATTGGATTGAAAAAATACTTAAAATTAACAGACAAAAAACTAGGGTTAGGGTTAGGGTTAACTAATAATCAGATCATCTGATTTTAGTGAAATATCTGAACAGATAGCAAATGATAATCAAGAGATCATCGATAGAGTTATTAAAAAGATATGTCCTTCATGCTTTTCTTCAATAGGTATTCTTCAGCAAATTTAAAGTGTTGTACTGTTTTTATTTTCAATTTTTTAAAAATAATTAAATTTTTTATAATATTTATATAATAACATATACTGTCAAAATTATATATATATATATATATATATATATATATATATATATATATATATATATATATATATATATATATATATATATATATATATATATATATATATATATATGTATATATATATATGTATATATATGTATATATATATGTATATATATATGTATATACATATGTGTATATATATATATATACATATATATATATATATATATATATATATATATATATATATATATATATATATATAATGTATATATATATATATATATTTATATATATATATATATATATATATATATATTTATATATATATATATATATATATATATATATATATATATATATATATATATATATATGTATATATATATATGTATATATATATATGTATATATATGTATATACATATGTGTATATATATATATACATATATATATATATATATATATATATATATAATACATATATATATATATATATATATATATATGTATATATATATATATATAATATATATATATATATATATATATATATATATATATATATATATATATATATATATATATATATATATATATATATATATATATATATGTATATACATATATAAATTGTTGCAATGTTAATTCAATATTAGTGCATTGTTTTTATGGTTTACAAATTTAATAATATCAAAGTTAGTAATAAAATGTTGTCATAATTTTAACTTTTATTCAGGTAAAGGAATTTCCCATTTTTGCTGTAAAAAACCTAATTATGTTGGCAGAAGGTCTTGGAAATGTATCCAGTGAGCAAGTTGCTTCTGGGATTCTCAAAAAAAAAAATAAAAAGGGACAATATACAACCTTCTTGTTGTTGTTAGCACACCTGATAATAAAGATAGCAGAATATGCCTTAAAAAATTGTCTTTCAAAGCTATAATGGAAATCTCAAATACTCTAAACCTAAGTAAAAGAAAAACAAAACTACTTTGCAAAATTATGCTACAAAACTTAGGGAAGATGATGTTAGAACCTAATATATCAACTCAGATTGAAGAACTGCATAACACTTTGTCAGATTTTTATGATGTAAAAACTGAATCATTCATTTCAGGGAATGAAGAGATAAGTCGCAGTTTGGTATTTGTAAAAGATACTTCTGATTTAATTCTTCCCATGATTAAAGAAAGAGGTTTGAATTCTTATTGCACTATTGTTAGAATTTCAATTGATGCTGGACAGGGTTTTCTTAAATATCTTGTAAATGTTTTTGATCCATTATGCAAAAATACAACTTCAGAAAGTCTAGATGATTCTGGTGTAAAAAGATCATTGGTTTTAGCTTTAGTTGAAGATGTTTCAGAACATAATGGAAATCTTAGCAAACTATTGAAACCACTGGCGCTGAATGATGTAAAATATTCAATAGCATTTGATCTTAAATGCGGTAACTCTTTATTTGGTTTAAGCAGCCACAGTGGTAAATATGCTTGTCTCTGGTGTGAAGGAGAAAGTACTCTTGAGAGTGAAGAAAAAAGAACTTTAGGTTCAATTGATATTAATTACAATAAGTTTGTTGCAGATGGATGCAAAAATAATCACATGAAGGAATTTAAAAACTATTTCTCCTCGAATTGTATATCTCGATGAACCTTTAAAAACTTTATGGGAACATCTTATCATGGCTTAAATCAAACTATATTATGTTTAGAGGTTACCATGGAATAGGTTTGGACGGTAACAATTCACAGAGACTTTTAGATAAATTAGATGATCTAGAAGTTAATCTTTTAAGTGCAGCCTCTATGCAGCCAAATATAATATTTCTACAACCTGTAGTTAATTGTCTTAGAAAGTTTTTTAATTAAAAAAAAAGGTTTCAGCTCAGTAATTGGAGAATCTATTGCTGAATCAGTTTTAGATTTTAAAAACGTTTTTGAAAAACTGCAGCTTCATCTTCTGGAAAAGTTTAACTATGAATTAAATATTAGCTGGAAAGTTCACATTTTAGTGTGTCATCTTGTTCCTTTTCTTCATCATAGTCAGTTTGGGCTTGGTGTATATGCTGAGCAGGCTGGAGAAAGTGCTCATCACTACCACTATCAAGTATGGAAGCAATACAAGTGTCGTTTGGAACACAATGATTATGCAAAACAGCTTAAGAAAAGTGTAATTGAGTTTGGTATAAACAATTTAAAGTAGTCATTTTCTCATTTAAAAAATTTTTTTAAGTAGGTGTTGCTATTATTGTTAATTTTTCAATAATAATCAAATAATTGTTAATGTTTAAAAAGTATTATTAGGAATTTGCATTCCAGTTGTTAATCTTTTTGTTACATTTGTTGCATTAAACTTTGTTAATTATAATTAATGTGTCCATAGCTTGATTAAAAAAAATTGTTTAAAAATTGTAATACCTTATCCATATTTTTTAAATGTCTTTTTTATAAGATAAATTTTTAAATTTTGGAACTTTTTTAATAAAAAAGATGTTTTAACAGAGGAACTTTGGTCTGGAGGAAATATACTAATATCTATTACCTACCACCCCCTCCCCAAGTATAAGTTATAACTGTTTTTGTAAAAAAAAGTATGTATAAAAGTTAGTTTAGATTTTTAAAATTATTTTAAAACAATTTACCAACCCTAATAATAATAATTAAAAAAAAAAAATTAGAGTAAACCAAAATTTACCCTGGCGGTCTCAGAAGAGCACAGTGTAAAGTGTCAAACCAAATAAAAAAGTAAACTACTTTAATTAAACAATTTGAATAAAATTTATCTTAAAATAAGAACCATATATTTATTAATTAAATTAAATGCTTTCATAAAAGTAATTAATTTTTTAAAGATACAAAATATTTTTTTTTGTTTAGTTTTTAACACAAAAAAGTTTAAAGCTAAATAATGTTAAATATAATGTAAACAATGCAAGGTAAATAATATAAGAAAAATGTAATGTAAATAATAAAAATGTTAATGCTAATGTTATCTATCAGAATGACTACTTATAGTTGAATTTTTCAAAAAGTTTATTATTATTTATTTGTTTTAATTCATTGAAGATTAACTTTTATTACTTAACTAAGTCCTCTCTGGAAAAAAAAAATTGCACCTTTTTAGTACCTGCATAGGCTATTTGGAGCCTGCACGCCTCTACGACTGAATACTGCTAGAGTTATAAGAATATACAAGTGTAAATTTAAATAAATACCATGACCAATTTTATTGACAGCTAAAAGTTTATCTTTTGTTAGTGTGCCTATTTGTGAAAAAAAAGAATAAATAAAGTATAAGAATTTATTATAAGTAAAAATCATTGAATTAAAAATAATAAATTTCAAAATGGTACCATCTTCATTAAAAACTCCTTCTTCAAAGAAACAACGAACTTTATCTTGACTGGTCATGAAGTATTCATCATTTTTCTAAAGTATTGAAATATTAAAACAAACAAACAAAAAGCAAAAAAAAGTGTAAAAATCAAGAAAAATTATTTTAAAAAATTGGAGACCTGGTTTTCAGTTGAAAAAACTGAGCGAGGATGAGTTGAAATATCAAGCGTTTCAATATAATGTTTGGATCTTTCTCTTAAAAGATCACATTCATCAGAGGATAAAAAGTCTTCTATTACAGCGTAACCATTAGTAACAAACTAAAAAAAAACATTAAATAGTATGTATAAACTAATAAACAAATGACAACTTAAGAATAATTGATTAAATAAGGTAACAAAAAAAGTTCAAAAAAAAGGCTTTATGAAAATACACTTTAGTACAATTGCTTACTTGGTCAATAACTGCATTTATGTCAACTTTGTCAATAAACTGTGCCATGAAAAATGTATTTTATTCAAAAACAAATAACAAAATACTGTATCTATAAAAATTTGCTGTAAAAACCATTTTGAAATATTTAACAAAGCAAGAACACAAGTACTTGAAAAATAACATATACTACTTTTGTTTAATTATTTTTTGTTATATTATGTTTATATTATATTGTTAATAATAGTTATTACTAATGATAAAAGCAAAATAACAATTTTTTCAAATTGAATTAATAATAAAAGTTTGATAAAACTTTAAGTAAAACAAGATTAATTGTCAAGAGACTCATTCTGAAGATTATAACTCATTCAAACCAAAGATTATAATTCATTCAATCTGAAGATTATATCGCATCAAAGACTTATTTAAACAAAGAATGTTTCATGCTTAGCAACTAAATAATATAAATCTGATCTATATATGGAGAAAAGTAGAAATAAGTGGAACCCATATAATAAATTATCTGATATATATAAAAATAGAAAGACATCAATTATATACCATCATAATTTAAGTAACCTATATATAACTTTCAATAAAACTCTTTTAAAATAAATCATTTTGAGATTTTTATGATTTTTTATTTTAAAATATTATTTAAAATTATTTTATTTAAAGATTCATTGAAAAACTTTATATAACACTCTCAAAATTATTCATAAAGAAAGGTTCATAACTCAAACATTTCTTTCCACAATTGAATGTCATCCAGATTAACTGCTTGACCACCACAAACAATTACAACTATGCTACTTAAGTCAGGAATACTGCCCATTTTGTGTAATATTTCAAGTGTGTCATTATAAATTGCACTCAAACTTGCTCCACAAGCAGGTTCAACTAACATTTTATGATCATTTGCAAACTGTAAACAAGCTAAAACTGCAGTTTTATCAGTGACTACATGGGAGAAAATTTTATGTTTTCCATACCATTCTAATGCATTTGGTAACACAGACAATGAACCTAAGCACTTTGCAATACTTTTAATTTCTGGTAGTTTAATGGGGTAGCCTGCCTCTATTGCTTTGTTAAAACAATCTGCTCCAATTGTCTCAAATGCAATTACAGGTACACCAGACCATCCTACTGCATGTAGTCCTTCTAAAACCCCACAAAGAAGTCCACCACCTCCTACACTGAGTAAAATTGCACTCGGAGGTTCTGGCAATTTTAGCTTTATTTCATGTATCATAGTTGAATGACCACTCCAAATTTCTGGATGATCAAAGGGGTGTACTAAAGTAGAACCTTCATGTTCTTCGACAAACTTTTGAGCATAAAAATGTGCTTCATCCCAAACAGAACCTTTAACATAAACTTTGGCATGTTCTTTTTCAAGTGTATGTATAACTTGAATTGCAGTTGTCTCTGGTACAAAAACAGTTACTGGTACTTCAAGTTTGAATCCAACATATGCAACAGCTAATCCTGCATTTCCACCTGATGATGAAACAAAGTGACAACAACCTCTTTCAACTAATTTTTGACAATGATAACCAATACCTCTTAACTTAAAAGAACCACTTGGCTGTGTATTTTCTAGTTTGAAAAATATTTTGTAATTTTTATCACTGTCTATTTTCTCAATTAGTGGTGTTTCTATATGTAAATTTTTATTGCTGTCTATTTTATCAATTGGTGGTGTTTCTATATGTAAACTTTTCATTTTTATCTTTAAAAGAAAGAAAAATAGAATTTTTTCAGGACCTCAAAAAATTTAAAAATAACAAAAGAAAAAAAAATAAGAGCAAAAAAAACAGATAGGATTGTTTAAATTTATCCAGGAAAAACTCAATAATATAAAAAATATATTCTTGAAAAATTTGTACTAGCTATATGTATTTGCTTTGTGCTTGGGTAGAAATGTAAAACTATCAGGAACAGGACCAAGAAGCATTTCACTAAAAAAGATAGTTTACAATTCAAGTGAAATATAAAGTAAGATGTTATTAAAACAAATTTTTTCCACCACAAAACATCTTTGTTTTGTTGTGGAATATATATATATATATATATATATATATATATATATATATATATATATATATATATATATATATATATATATATATATATATATATATATATATATATATATACAAATATATATAAAAGGGAGCAATTTCCTAATACAATTTGTACACCTTAATTCTTGAAATGCACATGGTTTTTCTTTTATTTCTAAAAATGTAAATTTTTAGAAATAAAATTTAATCAACATAGCAGCTTTCCCTTACATTTTTTACCTAGATAGACAGTTGATATGTATGTACTAAAGCACTGTATATCTACCTATTTTAGTATGTATGTTTTTTTTACCCTATTTTTAACTTAAAATAAAATAAAAAACAGTATCATAATAAAACAAAATAAAAACAAAAAACAGAATCGTAATAGAAAGTGTATTTATTGTTAGCGCATCTAGTAGTTTGTTAAGTGAAAAATGTGTTTATAAAAACACTTGCACATTTACAATATTAAAAATCTAATATTAAAAAAAAAAAGACCTTTAGAGGGTTTTACTTTACTTTACTAAGAAGTTAGTTAGATTACTTAGTAATCAAAAGAAGCGAAATTATATTAGTTGGTCTACTTCTGAATAACTTTTTTTTTTAAAAAAAAAGCACAACTTCTTGCAATGATATTTAAATTAATAATTTTTATTTGAAATAATTATAATTTTTGAACTTTTTATATAATTTCACTTCATTTGAGTAACGTTTTTTTATTGTAATTTTTGATATATTGTAATTAGTACACGGCTTGATATATTGTAATTAGTACATGGCTTAATATATTGTAATAAATACACGGCTTGATATATTGTAATAAATACACGGCTTGATATATTGTAATTAATACACGGCTTGATATATTGTAATTAGTACACGGATTGATATATAGTAATTAGTACATGGCTTGATATATTATAATTAATACTTTTAGAAATAAAAGAAAAACCAAAGAATATTGAAAAAGTTTTTTGCTACCCCATCCCAATCCTTTAATCAACATAGCAGCTCTCCCTTACATTTTTTACCTAGATAGACAGTTGATATGTATGTACTGAAGCGCTGTATATCTACCTATTTTAGTATGTATGTTTTTTTTCCCCTATTTTTAACTTAAAATAAAATAAAAAACAGTATCATAATAAAATTAAAAAAAAAAAAAAAAAACAGAAATATAATAGAAAGTGTTTTTTTTATTGTAATTTTTGATATATTGTAATTAGTACACGGCTTGATATATTGTAATAAATGCACGGCTTGATATACTGTAATAAATACACTGCTTGATATATTGTAATTAATACATGGCTTGATATATTGTAACTAGTACACGGATTGATATATTGTAATTAGTACATGGCTTGATATATTATAATTAATACACAGCTTGATATATTGTAATTAGTACATGGCTTGATATATCGTAATTAGTACATGGCTTGATATATTGTAATTAGTACACGGCTTGATATATTGTTTTTTTTTTGCGAAAAATACATAAAGATTATTAAAGATTAATAAATACACAAAGGGCCCTCCACCACCTATTAAGTAATTAGTACATGGCTTGATATATTGTAATTAGTACACGGCTTGATATATTGTAAATAGTAAACAGCTTGATATATTGTAATAAATAGACGGCTTATTATATTGTAATTAGTACATGGCTTGATGTATTGTAATTAATACACGGCTTGATATATTGTAATTAGTACATGGCTTGATATATTGTAATTAGTACACGGCTTAATATATTGTAATTAGTACATGGCTTGATATATTGTAATTAATGCACAGCTTGATATATTGTAATAAAAACACGGCTTGATATATTGTAATTATTAAACGGCTTGATATAGTCTATAAATAGGCAGAATATTAGACAGACAATTATTTAGTGTTTTTTTGGTATTTGTCATACTATTAGTTAATGTTGTTCATATTTTATTTAGGGAAATTTTGATCAAGTTACAAACTGAATTATGATTATAATGGTAAATAAATATTCAGTTGTTAATTGTTGAACTGGAAATAAATATAAAAAAAGTGAATCTATTTTTATTTTTGCAAGTAAAGCTGTTTTTAGTTTTCTATTTTAGATGCTTTTTTTTTTAAAAAAAAAAGATTAAATTTATTAATAGAAAAGATCAGAAGCCAAGTAAACATTCAGTTATATGTTTGGATCATTTTGAAACAAAGTATTTAAAAATATGGAAAATGAGTTACTTTAAAACTTGAGTTTAACAATTTTCCATTTATTCTGATGAAACTTGTGTTTCATCTTCTTTAATGACTAAAATTGTGTTCTCTTTTTTGATGAAATGTATTTACAGAATCTTGCGCATGCTACAGTGCTAGATTACTTGGAAAAGATACTGAGGGTGATCTCTACAAGGAAATCATTCAAGTGATCATTGAATTAAAAAAATTAATATCTTATTAAAGCTATTCCAAAAGTTGTCAATGAAGATTTTATTAAAGATTAAATAGAAGAAAGTTACATTAAGATCTGCTGGTTTTAAGATTTGCCCATTAATTGCACATTAAAGTATATTTTAGGGGTTGCTTGATAGAGTAAATAAAAAAGATGAAACCCATCATACCCTCTATTCCATGAAACATATTCCAGAACTTTTAAAACTCACTAATTTATGGAGGGTGTTTAATTCTAAAAAAAAAAATATTTGAATCATAAATTCGGAAATGCATCTTTTATAAAGGAAGGTAAGCTATAATTTTGGCGTGCATTTGCTCACTAAGTTAAATATTGGCAAAATTTGCAAAACGGTTCTAATGAAAGTTTTTGACTTACTACTCAGACTTTAATGCTAACCTCCATAAGCTCCATAAGGTCTTCTCCATAAGCTTTCTTCTTACCGTGTATCTGGAGACATTCTTTAAGATTATTGAATCCTTTCTTTCCAACCGTAGTATAAAAGTTGTCCTTGATGGACAACACTCTTCCTCTTATTCTGTAACCTCAGAGGTTCTTCAAGGTTCAATAAATGAAGCTGATTGGCTTCATTTATTCTTGTCATGATAAGAAGCCAACTTTCTCTGATTGGTTGGAGGGGGCATTTGAGCTTGAAAAGGATCTTACTTCTGTTAAAACATGGGGCTCACAGCGGCTAGTGAACTTCAATTCAGATAAAACTCAATTTTTTTGAGCCAATCGTTATTGCAATAATTTAGACCTTCCTATATTTATGAATGGTAATTTTGGAATGAATGGGATGTACTCAATAAACCATCTACCCTTCATCTTCTAGCATTAACTTTACTTACCGATCTTTCTTGGAAACCATATATCAAATCTGTTGCAAAATTAGCATCTGCTAAAGTTGAATCTCTTTATCAAACTTAACACTTTTTTACTCTGGATTCTATTCTTTATCTCTATAAATCTCAAATCCGGCCTTGTATGAAATACTGTTGCCATATCTGGGGTGGATTTTCTAATGAGGCTCTTTCCCTTTTAGACAAGTTGCAAAAATGCATTGTAAACATAGTTGGACCTGCTCTTGCAGCCAACCTTCAATTATTATCACATTGCCGTAATGTTGCTTCTCTTTCTCTTTTCTACAAATACTATAATGGGCTCTGCTTTAAAGAGCTAGCGTCTCTTGTGCCATCTACTAAAATTCATTCTCGTGTTACTCGTCATTTAATTAAGTCTCATCCTTTTTCTGTGACTGTTCCTATGAGCTCCAAAAACTTCTAGTTTTTTTCCTCTAGTTTTTTTCCTTGAACATCAGTTCTTTGGAATTTGCTTCCTTTATCTTGCTTTTCTGATTCATATCATTTGCAATCTTTTACGTCATCTGTCAATCGTTAACTTGCTCTACAATTTTCATCTTTTCTCTTCCAGTAACTTCCAACTTCTAATTAGTTAATTTTCTAAAAATTAATTAAATTTCTAAACTTCTAATTAGTGGTTGTTTGCAGCCTTGTTGGAAGCAAAGATGTTTAAAAAAAAAAAAAACTGTAACATGACAAAGTACTTCTAGTTTAATTAAAGATCTTCTATTTGAAAAATATAATGATTTATTAGAGCATTATTTTTCAAAGTACCGCCAAAAAGAAATATGCTAAAAGTGTTGGCAGAGATCTTGTTGGATTACATGAAGTAAGTACTTCTGAAAAAATTTTCCAAATATTAAAAAAAACATTATTAAAAAAAAAACTTTGAATTTTAGAAAATGAGTTTTAAAAATTTAGACTCAGTTTTGAATCTAAATTCAATTTGGAATTTTTTATTAATGATATTCACAAATATGAGTTAGATGAAAACAGTAAAGAAGTTGCTGATTTATTGCTAAATATATCTATAAATATTAATAACTTAACGCTTCCGATGAATGCTCACCATTCGTGCGCAATTTTACAAGGAGTTTTATGAGCATGCTTGGCCTTTTAGATATTTCTCTTTTTGACCACGAGATGAGGTACTCTTTAATCTGTTAATATCTGTTTAATCAGTAATAAAATCAAAAACTTTGCTTCATCAACTTAATTAGTAATAAGTAATAATTAGTAATAATTTTAATTTTTTAATTAAAAGACGATGGCGACTAAAAGACGATGCTCTTTTCAAGAGGTTAAACTCTTGATAAAGTTAGTATTATATATATATATATATAAAAATCTTGCATCTCACGCAGTTACATGTTAGAAAGAACAAGAAAGAATAACGTTAAATACCTTACCATTAAAGAAGTTAAAAAAAAATCTGCTTGCTTTTATAAAAAAAACCAGGTCGTTTGTTTTTCCAGTTGTTAAACATTTATTATACGAGGTATGTCATTAAACAAAAATAAGGTTGTATTTGTAAAGTTTCTAAATTATATATTTATCTTGATTTATATATTTTTATATAGATTAATTTA